CAGAAAAAAAACAAAAACAAGGGCTGGTGAGATGGCTCAGTGGTCTGAAGCACCTACTAAGAACAAGCTTAGCAAAGTACAGGGACCGCGGTTCAATCCCCCAGCACCACATGCCAGCCAGCCCCGTCCCCTGGTGGGCTGAGCTGGCCACACACACACAATAAATAAAATAAACTTTATAAAAAAAAAAAACAAAAAACCCCAAAAAACAAAAAACAAAAACAAAACAAAAATAAAAAATAAAAATTCAGAACTAAAAACAGGTATATAGAACAAAACACTGCTAGGAGAATTAGAACAGGCTGTTTTCTTTTGAGGGTAAATGGTGGAAGGCTTCAGTGTTTGTATATGTACTGTGTATATATCTGAAAAGAATCCAAAACTCTAAAACAAACCAAAAATTAATTTTTTGCTTTTCTTTTTGGTAGTGGGAATTGAACTCAGAGACTCATGCATGTTATGTATGAATTCTGTATTAACTGAATTGTTTATACTTTAAACTTCACGTGATATTAGCTCTTTTTTTTTTTTTTTTGCAGGGGTGGGGGGTCCTTTTTGAGATAAGGTCTGGCTATATAGTTCATAGTTTACTTATAACCTTGACAGGTTACTATATAACCTTGAGCTTACTTCGTAGCCCAGGCTGGTCTTGAATTTATAACCTCCTGCCTCAGCCTCCAAAGTGCCAGAATTACAGGCATGAGCCAACGCTCCTGGCAATACTAGCATTTTTAACAGTTTATGCTCATTTCTTGAGCAATTTTCTTTCTCCCTCTCCTAAAATAGCAATGGTACAAACCTTTATCATAGTCACAATGTTTGTTTATTTATTTATTTTGTAGCAAGGGTCTACAGGGTCTCACTGCATGGATCATGGACTGGACTCGTAGTGATTCTCCTGTTTTTAGCCTCCCAAGTGCCGGGATTACATTGAGACGGGGGCCACCACGCCTGGTCTCAATGCTGTCTTGTCTCAGTATGCCCCAGAGGTGGGACCTGCACTGCACACAGGGTTCGAACCCCAGCCGCTGCGCTCTGCCAAAGCAGGCGCTTTAGTCTGCTGAGCTATCAGGCTGGCCCTTAAGCAATTAACTTTCTAAATAAAGGCAGAATAGATTTTCCTAAATTAAAAAAAAAAAAAAAGAAAAAAAGATTTTCCTAAATTTGTAGAAATAGTTTTGATATAACTGTCTAAAGAAATCACCGTATTTACTGCTTTTACGGGAGAAAAGGGGGAAAAAAAAAACCACGTTATTTCATTTGCTTAAAAAGGTCTCATTTCACAAAGCAAAAGTCTTATTCTCTGGACATAATTTTTAAGTTGATATTAGAAATCAAAAAGAAAAAAAAGTGAGAATAAGGAAAAATTTTAAAAAAGTAATAGGATTCCTTGTAAGAGGAAACAAATCATAAACTAAAATTCCAGGAATTTCAGCAAAAGAAACACTGAAACATTTTGATTTAAAAATTAGCAACAAATCACTCTGAAGAACAGTCCAGGGCATGGCCACTGGGAGGTAACCACATGGATGAGCAAGGAAGATAAAGTTCTTTTACCTGTTTTCATGAATCCTGGATGCTCAGCAATGTTTGAACTATTTAACAGTTTCACAGCTTTTCGATAATTGCCCCTTAAGTACTCAAAATTGCTTTTAAGAAACAGAGAGGGTGCAGACTGTAAAGAAAACATAAAAGTTAAAGTTTGTTTTCAGATGCTTAATGCAAGATCATAATTATACCGTTATCTAGGTATGTGTTCAAGAGCATGAATCTGTTAAGTTATGGACACAAAAAAACTACACATGGTCTAAATTTTTCACTGCTTTTACAACCGGAAATATATATACTATATATAATATAGTATAATATATATAATTTCAGCTGACTGTTTCATTTGTACTGCTAATGGGAAGCCAAATTACCTTTTAGACAGGATCTCACCATGTTGCCCAGGTGGGCTCAAACTTATAGGCTCATGTGATCTTTCTGCCTCAGCCTCCTGAATACCCAGGATTGCAGGTAGGTACCACTGCCTTTGTTTAGTTGGCAACCAATTTAGGAGCACCAACTAGGTCTTTTTTTTTTTTTTTTTAATTTAATTAATTAATTAATTTATTTATTTAGTGTGTGGCCAGCTCAGCCCACCAGGGGGCGGGGCTGACTGGCATGTGGTGCTGGGGATTGAACCGCGGTTCCTGTGCTTTGCTTGGCTTAGCTTGTTCTAAGTAGGTGCTTTAGACCACTGAGCCATCTCACCAGCCCCAACTAGGTCTTCTTTCATTCTAATTGTTATTAGAGATACTAGTGATCTTTTCTATTTCTAAGAATATAAAATACAAATGTACCTTTCATTAGGACCCAAATAATCAAATACTTTTTCCAAACAGAAATAAAGACTGTCATCCTATGAATGGAAGAATTTTCCAATTGCAAGTCTTTTTTGATGAGCACTAATTTTGTTCTTTAACAGGTCATGCTCCAGATCCCAGATCACTCTGCCCTTGTAAGAACCCTCGCAGAGGCACAGAACTGCGTCTCCGTAGTCCCAGCTACTACGAGCTGAGGTGACACAGCCCGGGCAACATACTGAGACCTGTTCTTTTTTTTTTTTTTTTTTTAAGATGTCTTTAATTCTTTTTGTTTGTTTGTTTTTGTGGAACTGGGGATTGAACTCAGGCCCTTGTGCTTGCCAGGGAAGCACTTATTCCACTGAGCCATTTCCTTAGCCCTGAGACCTGTTCTGAAAAGAACAACAAACAAAACAAAAAAGAATCCTCACAGTTCCAGGGCCTCTAGGCAGAGAACCAGGAGGACAGCAGGAATCCTTGCCTCATTATTCATTCATTGTAACTTAAAAATAGGCTTTCCTTCCTTCTAAATTCTACTACTTCTTTTGGTCTGCCTCACATGCAGCACTGTGTTGAGGTCACTAGGAAACAAAGGTTCTCCACGGGGACACTTTCGGGAGAGGGTAGTACTGGGCATGAACTTGCAATCCTCCTGCTTCAGCCTTCCAGAGTACTGGGATTATAGGCACCATACCCAGATGATTTGTATTTCTGAATCAAATTTTTCTAAAATCAGTAAGATTCTTCGTAATTCTGTTTTTTTTCCCCCACTAACATATTAATTTTTTATTAATAGAGGGAAGAGTAATAATATCTCAAATAGTAGGAAGACCCCAAAGATATACCAAAGCCAAAACTCATTTGGAAAGAGGGTTTTGCCATAATTTGGTCACTAAACTTTTAAAAAAAAATTTACTTATTTATTTATTTATTTAGAGTGTGTGTGTGTGTGTGTGTGTGTGGCCAGCTCAGCCCACCAGGGGGCGGGGCTGGCTGGCATGTGGTGTTGGGGGTTGAACCGCGGTCCCTGTGCTCTGCTAAGCTTGTTCTAAGTAGGTGCTTTAGACCACTGAGCCATCTCACCAGCCCCACTAAACTTTTTTTTGTTGTTGTTTTTTGTTTTTGCGGTACCAGGGATTGCACTCAGGCCCGTGCGCTTGCCAGGCAAGTGCTTATTATACTGAGCTATCTCCCTGGCCTTTTCAAAATTTCTTTTCTTTCTTTTTTTTTTGGCGGAACTGGGGATTGAACTCAGGCTCTTGTGCTTGCCAGGGAAGCGCTTACTCCACTGAGCCATCTCCCCGGCCCAGGCCACTAAATTTTTAATAAATGTTTGAGTATGATACTAAAAAATTTTAAAAAATATAAATGGCTAATACCTGCAAAATGTTTAGGTGAACTGTGATAAACCACTCAGATTACTAGGTATTTATTTATTTATTTATTTATTTATTTATTTATTTATTTGGTGGAACCAGGGATTGAACTCAGGTCATTGCACTTGCCAGGGAAGCACTTATTCCACTAAGTCATCCCCCTCGCGCCTAGGTAAGTATTTAAAATGGAGGTTCTAAAAAATGATAATAAAATGGAACTTTTAAAGGCTGCAAAGAAAAATGCTTTGGTACTGAATCCAGAGGCATTGCACTAAGCTATTTCCTCAGTCCTTTTACTGTTTTTTTGAGATAGGGCCTCACCAGGCAGTTCAGGCTGGCCTTAAACTCACTATGCAGCCCAGGGTGGCACCAACCTTTTGGCAATTCTCCTGCCTCAGCCTCCCAGACTGCTGGGATTATAGGCAGGTGCCTCTCACCAGGCTTTATGTAAATTTGCAGTGCTGGGTACTGAACTCAGGGACTTGTGCATTCATGGTAGGCAAATACTCTACCACCAACCTATACTCCCAGCCCAAGATGTCATATTTTTAAGTAAAAATACATTAAGTTATGAACACAGTACAATGACTACTTCTGAACTTTATAATATCAAGATTTATATCTGATAATAGTAAAGATACTATGCTAAGATAAATTATTTGCATGCTGGGTACTGAACCCAGGCTCTTATACATTCTAAGTGCATGCTCTACCACTTAGTTACACACCCACTGCAAGATAAATTTTTTTTTTAACTTTATTTGTGTGTGTGTGTGTGTGTGTGTGTGTGTGGCCAGCTCAGCCCACCAGGGGGCGGGGCTGGCTGGCATGTGGTGCTGGGGGATTGAACCGTGGTCCCTGTGCTTTGCTAAGCTTGTTCTAAGTAGGTGCTTTAGACCACTGAGCCATCTCACCAGCCCCAAGATAAATAATTTAAAAATGACAAATAGTCATAATCTAAATAAGAACAGTACAAACTGAGTAACAAAATGTAGAAGAAAACTTACATTTCCAGCTGTGTTCATGACTGATTTGATTTCCCGTTTGCATGCTTTCAGAGACTTCATTTGTATATAAGCTCTTACTTTGTACTGTCAAAGAAGAATGTTAGTATGTTAAGTACAGTTCATTTCCTTCTAGGAAAGTTTTACTTTTTACCTAAGGAAATTAAACTCGATATATTTATAATATAGTTACACTGGTTTATTGTAAAAAAAAGTTTAAAATTATTTTAAAATTTTATTTGACTCTGTGCTTGGATTATACTTTAAAACACTAAAACACACGGTAAAATAAAATTTATATTTGATGGGCCAGCCAGATAGGTCAGCGAACTAAAGTGCCCACTTAGGCAGAGCACAGGGACCAGGGTTCGATCCGTGGCACCAAAAGCCATACCGGAAGTTCAGGCTGGACGTTTAGCGGGTGCAGCACCAGGGAAGGGGAGAACCTGTCCATTTCCAGAGCATTTCACCAGTAGATCTGTTTGCTTCCTACAATCTCTGAAGACATATAATTATGACACTATGGCAGGGATTTTGTGTTCAGTGTTTCACAGGCCCTCAGGCAGGCTACAGACTGACAAAATGTGTGGAATCTCTCATGGGTACAGATTGGATTTGTCACAAAGTTACCAAATCGAGAATTCCAGACAAAGTGTTTCAGCCTTCACCTGAAGATCATGAAAAGTATGGTGGGGATCCACAGCACCCTCATAAACTACATGTTGTTACCAGAATAAAAAGTACAATAAGACGACCATATTGGGAAAAAGATGTAATCAAGATGCTTGGATTAGAAAAAGCACACACTCCTTAAGTTCATAAGAACATCCCTTCAGTAAATACAAAGTTGAAAGTGGTTAAAGCATCTCGTAAGAATCCAGCCTCTGAAGCTGCCTCAAGGACTTCCCACAGAAGAGAACATGGCTAACACGTGCCTCAAGAGTACTGTGGAGTTAGTAGTGCAGGGGCAGCTGAAGCCTGTGGACACCTGTAAGCCCAGCACTTAAGGGGCTAAGGCAGAAGAATCCTTGCAAGTTCAAGGACAGA